TATCTGTCAGTGTCCATGTCGTGATCCATACTGTGATTGTGGAAATAAAGAAATATTAATCTCGAGGCATATTGATGTTTTGATTTTTAGATTTAAAGCTTTCGTGACTGCAGGGATTCATCTTCTTGGTTCTTTCGGTAAAGTCACGTAGAATGGAAATAATAAAATAATAAAAATAAAACATAATAAAATAATTCTCACGACGTTTCGGCCACAACGCAAGCAGCCGTCCTCAGGTGAAGAGCAGGTCTGTCAGAAAGACGCTGTCTTGCGAAACGTCATGAGAATTATTTTATTATGTTTTATTTTTATTACTTTATTATTTCCATTCTACGTGACTTTACCGAAAGAACCAAGGTTTTGATTTTTGTTGTTATTATGCTCCAACGCACTCCAGCCTGCTTTGGTCTGCCTCGTTATTCCATACTTGCGATGCTGGATCACCTCTTTAAAGGCTGCCCCTCGTTCACATTCTCTGCCCCGCTTCCCAGCTGTGCCCTTCTCACAGAGACCCCAATTTGTTTGAACACACTTGTTGTTAACTCATTCATCTTGAGGCCCACGAAGCTATGCCACCCATTCCTTTGGTTCTTAAAATGACCTACACGTCGTCACAAATCTGAGATGGATGATATTTTCCAAATTCACATTGAGATTTTATACGTAGTTTCACTATAGAAATGTGATTACAATGCATTTCTGTACGTATGAATTAAATGTATTTAATTTTGTACTTCATTTTTTCACATTAATGATGTAGGATAAGATACATTCATCTGAACTAACATGGTTCACGTTGGAACGACACCTAATATGCAAAGAAGCAAAGCAATTTGGTTTTGCTTGATATATCTTTTAAATTGTCCACCGTCCATGCGTGGATAAGAAGATAGGCCCTGGAGCCAAATGTTCCCCCTCCCACTTGTCTGACCTAGAAGAGCCAGGCCCAAGGAGCTCACCAAATCTCAGTGGAAGATCTGCGAGGGAGATCATGGCCCTCAAGTTATTAATTAAAGCGCCCCACCCCCCTCACCAAGCCACACAGACCAGCGTTGTGAACTCTGGTCAATAACCCCATTACCGAGACAGCCGGGGGAGAGCTTCATCCAGCAGTAGACTGACGAACGACTGAACATATATTAAGGCAGACAAGCAGTATTTCCTTTCCTCAATGGGATACAACGCACCATAATCACCACAGAAGGCAATTTTTGTCCTTGGGAGGAGATTTTTTTCAGAACCTAATAAATATTCGCACTAATTTTACGAAAAATGTTACGTTAATATACAACCGCAATGATTAATTAAAATATTCGTTTTGACAAGTTGCTCACTTAGTGAAATATTTAAATTATCTTTCATTTTATTCTTGGACATTTCCCAGGTCTTCCCTGTGAATCAGAATGTCTCTCTGGGCCCGTGTCTGCTCCGACAGAACGTGAACTAGACTCATTTCGTTGGTTAGATTAAAAAAACTATCCAGACGGCCGAGAAACTGAGCAGTCTCATCCATCATATGAGAGTATTGCAGTCTCTTGCTTGAAGATGGATTTCCGACAATTTCCCAAAAATTCCTTAAAATGCGTGTCCACTGTATACATTTGGGTGACTTAAGAGGGATTATGGTCAGGCTAATTGTAGTACAACGTTAAAGCACTGTGCCAGTACTCTGCCAGCACTGCTGAGATCCTGATTGACAGAGAATCCTGGTCTGGTGCCTGAGAAGCCGAGATAAACTACGTGCGCATAGATAAACCGGCGAATGCCCTCAGCCCTGCTATTGACAGAGGCGTCCTCAGCTCTGCCATTGACAAAGCCCTGCACCCAAAGTCAACTCTCGATTGTCCGGGAGAATGGGGGGGGGGCAGCCGCATGAAACAAAGACACGGTCAAAACAACAACATTGATTCCCAGGCACGTGAATTAATCTTGATGGACGGACTGGATGTATCATTACACTTCTACAGCAGAGTTTAGTAGGCGCACGAGACAAACCCTTGAAAGACAGCAGACGAAGATGAGTAATAATATTACAGCCATTAAACATTGATATGGGTTCGAGGGAGTTGCATCATGGGAAACTTGATTCAGTCTGCGCCTCCATGGCCCACGTCTCTCATCCAGCACCTTAGAAGCAGTTGGAGGACCCCACAGAGATCTATTCAACTCCCACTGGGCCACAAGGTGAGATGTCAGCCCAGGAAGTGACTTCATAACCCACAATTCAGGAAGAGGATATTTTGGCTTTGTGAATATTCTTGTTGTGCATGGGAGTTTGCTTGGGGAACTACAATTTCTTCCTACGTGCAAAAAAAACCACTCGTTAAGAAAATAATTTGGCCAAACATCGCAATACGAGACCATGCGTGAAAATCGTGAATACTTTCCCGGGTTAACGAACGGCATTGCTGTTACTGCTATTACACAAACTCGGGGGTTAGACGGAGAAAATGTTTCAAATGAAATGTAAAGAAAAAAACCTGAAGCGTTTGCTCCTCATTCAATAACACAGCCCCATTGAACGCTCGCAAGAAGCGAAAAGTAAAACCGACTGCAGCTCTCTCCTTGGGGGTCACTCTCCCGGGGACAGGGTTAATTGAGCGAGTATTGGAGGACGCCCGTCAATGCCCTTGTGCGGTGCTCTAGCCGATTAGGCCTGCGCACAAAGCCAAGCTCTGAAAACGAGGGCACACAGCCTCCGGTAGTTGGCGAGGGTCACACTGAGCCGCCACGCGCCAAAATGACAGTTTGATTCCTGCTAAAAATGACAAAAAGGTAAAGTCAAGAGGTCATCACGGCCAATGGAGGCAATGCCACTGCACCTTGCCAATGCTTCCTCTCCCTTCTGTCAGAGCTCACAGCTGTTCACAGTCGACATCCGAGGGTACAGTAAGTAGATCAGTAAGTAGATGTGCATCTACGGAACTTTGTCAATCCGCTGCTGGATGAGGGCCTCTCTAGGCTATGCCAGTCGTGGGGACTGTTTGTTCCTATTTGACTACGCTGGCCACTCTGGCCTGGTGAAGGCAGGGAGCTCAGACGCGGGGACACACAGTGTATGTATGTCTTCATCTTTGTTTTTGCGTGTGTTGAACTTATTTTGCACCATACGTAGCCAACCGTGCGAATCGGAGGTGTAATAACAGTAACAGTGCATTGACAGTGGATTTTAATGCACCATCTTCAGCTATACCATAGTTTGCAAGAATATGAATTCCTGCAGTCACGAAAGCTTGAAGTCAAGATTTCTAACACCTGTTATACTCAGTGGTTGCCCATCTAAGCACCATCCAGGCCCAAAGCCTGCTTGGCTTCTGAGATCTGGTATATTTCGTGTGATTTTCGTCAAAAGGCCAAGAAGCTGGTAGCTGACATTAAGCAGGTGATCGTGATTCTTATGAATCGGGCAGTGCATGTCAGCGTCTCAATGCCTCCACTTACAGCTCGCTCTTCATACCAAAATATCTCCGATGTGTAAATAAAAAATATTATCTTAATGGGATCTTAGACGGTTAATGAGATATTTGGTGTAATTGAATTCATCGAAATTGATAAAAATTGGGTTCATATTTTGCGTGTTCTCATCAATAAACATTCACGCACATTACGAAAGAACATAATAATGGGCATTTATAAGTAATTGTCACCGACAATAAAAGACCAAAATCAATTGCTAACTTTAAATTATTGCAACAAAATAATTAATCATACAAATTAAGATATGAAAGTACGGCCCAATGTAAGTAGTATAAATAAATTATTGTGGCGATTTGTGCATGAGCTTTCCTGGCCTATGCGGTTAGGCAATAGTAGAGTGTGTGCCGTGAATCGCTTTTCTCTCAACCTGGAACCTATGGCTGGCCCTCTTCCTGCGATGCGTCCCAGACACTAGCTCGATTATGCAACATCAGCAAACCCTCAGGATAGGCAGGGCTTCAAATGGTCCTTCAGCTGACATTCCCGCAATGACTGACGTGGCGCGAATGGTGATAGCGAGTTGTGCGAGCCGTCAGCCAACCTTGCCGCGTTCCAGTCCATAGACCGCAGCGTATTCCGGTAGAGTATTCCCTTAATGCCTCAGCCTGCCGCCCAACATGCAAAAAGCGACGGGTAAATGACACGCGCGGTAAGCAGAATTTGTGTCTTGTACGACCAGCGCCAAATCCGGATTGCGCTTGCCCTTGACCAAGCGATCTAATTTTCATAGAGCGTCTCTCCGTGCAATGTGCGCGCGAGGCGAGGGGTGGTAATTGAAAGCCTGGCATTCGCATGAAACCTGCCGGTGCACCTGGCTTAGGGAATTTGGAAAAGATTTGGTAAATTACAAAACAAACGCCACATATACTTAATGCGTTTTTCAGTAAATTCGTGTCCCACCGCATACGGGCATTTGCTTCAGAACTGGCGCTTTGAACATAGAATGACAATCCTTCTGAGAATTGGAGTTTCACATTGCAAAAGCTAACGGTCCATTGAAGTACCGTATTACTTACAGTGCTCATAAAGATAATGGAAGAATGGGAATGTTAGCGCCTATTGATCTGAGCAGAGATCACAACGAACATTAGGTGAAGGGCTTTGTTCAATCCCACTTGCTGGGAAGTCGAGGGCTGTGAGATGCCAGGAGATGGCAGCAGCATAGCAATGGCTCTGGCCCGTAGACAGATTTGTTCCGCTCACTGGATTGAGCCTATCTGTTGATTATTTCTCTCTGTGTTGAGATTTCAGTGCCACCCCCTTTATATGTGTGGGCACTCTGGTTTCCACCCTCAGCCAAACACGAATGAATGGAATGGGCAAAAGATTCCAATGCTGGACTCTCCTGAAAATGAGTAGCGGTGTGTGATCCATCAATCCTCGCTGCTGCCTCCGCGCTGCTGGCTGGATGAGAGGCCACGTGCAGCGCAGCCACCGCCGCGTGCGAGCGACGAATGTGTCCCGGCACCCGGCAGGGAAAGCCGAGCGCCGTGCCCGCCGATGCGGTAGGGCAAGCGTCTCACCCTTGACCTGCAGCGTCACGGTGGCGTTGGCCTTGCCCAGCGAGTTCATGGCGAAGCAGGTGTAGCTTCCGTGGTCTGACCGCTCCAGGTCTCGAATCGCAAGGCTCCCGTTTTCGAGGATCGTCATTCTGCACACGCAGGCGGCAGCAGCAGCAGCAGCAGCAGCAGCCCGGCCACACAGCGGCGTTTACCCTCTGTCCAGGCTCCTGCTGAGAAAATTACAATATTGCATCTAAACAAGACCTTTCCTCCCTCTACACCCCCTAATAAAAGTTCAATCTCGCATCTGTCGAGTCCCCCAGAACAAAGTAAATGCCCCCGCCCCTCTCCTCGCTAATGCTGTGCCAACAACGAGCCCCGTCCATTTGCATTCACGTTCTTCAACAATTCAAGCAGAGACATTTATTTTGTCATAAAAACAAGGAATAAAAATTAAACGTGCGCATGGATTCTAACACATTTTTCCAGTTTAATAAGACCAAGGCTTTCGCAACCAATATTATTCATAATAAAGGTTTTTTGGGTTAGATATTTAAGTATATACTGGCTGTGTCGGATGGTGGAGGGTTACGACACATTTATTCTTACGCAATCTAACCCAAACACGTTTATTATGAATATTTTTCCAACATGCATTTTTCCGCCACGTTCACGTGACAACTAATATTTGCATACGATGGTATTGAACACTTTCAATGGCAGTAATACATAGCGTTATATATATTTTAAATTGTAAACGTGTGTACAAAATACTCTTGTGAAAAAATGAGATGCTATAACTTAGCAAAGTATGAAATGCTTGTTAACACTCAGTGGAAACGGTTTAAACGCACGATACGCTGCGCATTATCTCAGTGCAAGGGCTTTTAGTGTCTTTAACTTGTGCAAGGGAAACTTGACACCTACCCTTGAGGGTTTAGAGGATCATTACTTATTTATCGTGGGTCACTAGTTTACCAGTGACATCAGCACATTGGTATTCCAGGGTGATCAATAGGATATTTCAAGTCCGATGGAGAGTGCGTACCACAACGGGTCCGTCAGAATGTTCCAGACGCTTTGATTTCATTTAAGTACAGAGGCAACCTGAGATGGCAGGCAGCCCAAATATACGGCACTTATATTTTGCTATTGCACCAACATATGTCGATAACACGTTGGCGATGCACGCTTCAAGCAATGCGAGCTGTTGTTATATTTCCCTGCATCGGTCATTGTGACCGCAGAGAAGACATTCATAATTTAAAACCTATTTTTAATTGATTGGGACAGCAAGCAATACGTCTCCTTACATTAACCACACCATGGCTCCCCGGCATGGGGATTTAAGCCCCAGAGTGGCGGCACGCGTTACGGGATAGCCGCACACAACCAAACGGCGTCGTTCTGATATCAATCATTGCTCCGCATCGAAACGAAGATGAAACGTGCAGCCTTTGCAACAGCTCGCCCGTGCCACCGATGGCACCAGCGCCTCCACTGCAGGGAGATCTGGACAGCTCCTCCACAGGGTATTCTCGGCCTACTCTTTCACACTGGCCAGGGACGACCTCGGGATTGCAGGTCGCTGGTTCGATCTCCTGGCGCAACAGTTGAAGAAACGGGGCACGTTGTTTAAATCCCCCAGCCTCAGTCCAGCCGTATGAATGGGTACCACCAGGCAGGTTGCATGTAGTGGGATACAGTGTGGGTGCTCCCACTTTTCTCAAGATGTCTGGCCAGCGTGGAGACCTTTCTGCCAGCAGCGGAGTAAGAAATTGCATGGCTGCTCCTTCACCTTGGTGAGTGTTTAGCTGGGTTACTAATACGAAGCATTACCCAGTTTATATATATTTAGCTAGATACACATTTACATTTTTATAGAATTCTGAAATGATTTACAAACATATGTTCAAAGGGGAAATTAATGGAGTGAGCAGCTTGGGTTAATGTGAGGGCAGCAGCAGGAGAAGCCAGATCACGACTCACGCCCACAGTCAGAGCACTGCGCTGATGTTTGCAAAGGTTAAATCAACGTAGAATAGTTTGGTTGAAGAAAGCAATTATAAAATTAATGAGATATCACATTTTTGTAACTTTAAAAAAAGGCACCAAATAAGGAATGACATCACTTTATAAAATCTGAGTACTCTTTTCAAAAGTCACCTTGACAACACCAAGTATATTCTAACCCCTCAATAGCTGGCCTTGCCCAAATTAGGCACTCAACCATAAATTGTGCTCAATGTATTTTTTGTGTCAGTGGTGACTGCATCGAGGCCATGAAACTTGTTATAAAAGAACCCGGCTTTGTTTTGAATGGGCCCTTGACGCACACACACACGCGCGCGACGGCTGCGGGCACGTGCAATGACTCAGACGCGGGGGCAGCGTTGGCCTCCTGAGCCACCCAGACGCCTCGTGCAGCTCTCCTGCATTGAGACCAACCTCCGTAGTGATGGCGCAAAACACCGCCATTTCAATAATGAGGTCATTATCGGAAAGCAAATGCCACCCACGACAATTGAAATACATTTATAATGTGTGCAGCCTGCCGGGCCGTGCGGCGGGATGGCTAGGGACGCGACGCCGACACAAGACCTCACAGTCAACGAGACGTGGCATTTTGATTGTGCAGTCTCGCGGGGCTCGGTGGTGGAGGAGGAGGCAAATTGAAAAGAGGAGCGCATTCAGTAACTAGGCGGGCGGTAGCCCAGCACTCGGCGGCTTCACCACCAGAGGTGACGGCGTGATCACCAACATGGGTTCAGTCGTCCTGCCAGCAAGCATCACTCTTGGTGGGGGCGGGGGGAGGGGAACAGTGGCAGAGCGGTTGGTGCACTGCGTCATGAACCCTGCGACCAAAGTTTGATTCGCGGCCACGCTTGACATCAGTGGTGATGAGTGATATCTGAACCGGTCCTGGATCTCCCCCTGCCCCGCCCCACTCCCATTCATCACTAATCTGCACTCACCAGAGTGGTGAATAATTGCGAAAAGAATAACCCACGTCCCACACAGCATGCAATGGACAAAGGGCTGCAACAATTATCGTCTTTATTACAGCTTTTAGAATAAGGTAGCCTTTAAACAGTGTGAAACTATATTACAATTATATCGTTTGGCAGCGACTTAGCCCAAATAACACGTAACTCAACACCGCCCGCACCGCCAATTCAAGGGCAACATCACCGACGTTGAGCAAGTCTCCGCAGGGGCTAACGGACGGCTTCGTAGCCTCGATATCCTCACAGATAACGTCGCTAATTTACCTTGACAAGAAAAAGGAGCCCAAATGACGAATGAGGTGACATTTTAAAAAACCGAAAATTAACTGACGGTCTGGGTCGAATCCTAGCGTGCATGTCGGTCTCTTTCCTGCAATGCGGTGCAATGTGTACCGGCTGAGTAACGAGGATGAACACGTCATCCAACGATTAGACATTCAATTAAGAATTAAATCGTTGATACGTACAAAGTATATTAACGCAAGCGTACAACAAACATTTGCATAGAAGATTGGTACAGTGCTCGCTTCTGTTTGTAACCATAAAAAAAGAGGACCAGCTGTTGGATCAGAGTTATTGGACCTATTTAAAAAAAAAAACGTTTTCCAGACAAATGAAACACATCAGTTATGCATTATATTCCGCAATGATGACTCGTTTCGAAAAAGAAGACAATAACCGACCTGGAGAATTATAAACCATATAGCCTCCTATCACACACGTAGATTGTTCACATATGTTATTCGGGCAGATTAATGGACTATTCATAACTTCCAATGTTGAAGGAAGTAGTCACCCCCTGTAAAAGGCTGGCTGATGTCCCATCTGCTGAAGAAGCATGAACAGCAATACAGAGCCGGAGCCAAAGTACAGCGCTACGCAGGGATGATTTACCAAGCAAATTGCTCAAGGAGGGTGGCGTTTCTGTGCAGGTTACTTTAAATGGCATTATTATAACTGCTTGGACCCCTGGACAGGTTCCGCAAGATTGGAAAGATGTCCTGGTGGTCCACAGTATAAGAAGCGGAAATTTGGAAATAAAACTGTGATTTTTTATCTCGGCCTACAAACATTTGTATTTGGATGTTTTAATAGCTCGGAATCAGCGTTTGACATGATATATTACTCGAGAAAAACAACATTTTCAACTCTGTCTCTGTCAGTCTGTGGGTCTCTATGTAAGTCTGTGGGTCTCTATGCACGTCTGTGGTACTCTATGATGAAAAAAATCCCATGTTTGCGGGTACTTTTGTGACAAGGACTATCTCCCCGTGTAATTTCATCCGTAATTTTCCAGCATTACTGACCCCAGCTTGGGCTGGACACTTGTGAATTTGCTTCACAGCTGACGGGATGCTTCCGGCTCCGATCAAATGCACAATACAGAGACAGGCAAAACTCAGACTTAAAGCTTTCGTGACTGCAGGAATTCATCATGATGACGACCGCTTGTGTTGCGATCAAAACATTCGAGTTCTTTGTTATTTTCTTTGAACCTACAGTGAGGGAAAAATGTATCTGATCCCCTGCTGATTTTGTACGTTTGCCCACTGACAAAGAAATGATCAGTCTATAATTTTAAATGGTAGGTTTATTTGAACAGTGAGAGACAGAATAACAACAACAAAATCCAGAAAAAAGCATGTCAAAAATGTTATAAATTGATTTGCATTTTAATGAGGGAAATAAGTATTTGACCCCCTCTCAATCAGAAAGATTTCTGGCTCCCAGGTGTCTTTTATACAGGTAACGAGCTGAGATTAAGAGCACACTCTTAAAGGGAGTGCTCCTAATCTCAGCTTGTTACCTGTATAAAAGACTCCTGTTCACAGAAACAATCAATCAATCAGATTCCAAACTCTCCACCATGGCCAAGACCAAAGAGCTCTCCAAGGATGTCAGGGACAAGATTGTAGATCTACACAAGGCTGGAATGGGCTACAAGACCATCGCCAAGCAGCTTGGTGAGAAGGTGACAACAGTTGGTACGATTATTTGCAAATGGAAGAAACACAAAAGAACCGTCAATCTCCCTCAGCCTGGGGCTCCATGCAAGATCTCACCTCGTGGAGTTGCAATGATCATGAGAACGGTGAGGAATCAGCCCAGAACTACACGGGAGGATCTTGTTAATGATCTCAAGGCAGCTGGGACCATAGTCACCAAGAAAACAGTTGGTAACACACTACGCCGTGAAGGACTGAAATTCTGCAGCACCCGCAAGGTCCCCCTGCTCAAGAAAGCACATATACATGTCCGTCTGAAGTTTGCCAATGAACATCTGAATGATTCAGAGGACAACTTGGTGAAAGTGTTGTGGTCAGATGGAGACCAAAATGGAGCTCTTTGGCATCAACTCAACTCGCCGTGTTTGGAGGAGGAGGAATGCTGCCTATGACCCCAAGAACACCATCCCCACCGTCAAACATGGAGGTGGAAACATTATGCTTTGGGGGTGTTTTTCTGCTAAGGGGACAGGACAACTTCACCGCATCAAAGGGACGATGGACGGGGCCATGTACCGTCAAATCTTGGGTGAGAACCTCCTTCCCTCAACCAGGGCATTGAAAATGGGTCGTGGATGGGTATTCCAGCATGACAATGACCCAAAACACACGGCCAAGGCAACAAAGGAGTGGCTCAAGAACAAGCACATTAAGGTCCTGGAGTGGCCTAGCCAGTCTCCAGACCTTAATCCCATAGAAAATCTGTGGAGGGAGCTGAAGGTTCGAGTTGCCAAACGTAAGCCTCGAAACCTTAATGACTTGAAGAAGATCTGAAAAGAGGAGTGGGACAAAATCCCTCCTGAGATGTATGCAAACCTGGTGGCCAACTACAAGAAACGTCTGACCTCTGTGATTACCAACAAGAGTTTTGCCACCAAGTCCTAAGTCATGTTTTGCAGAGGGGTCAAATACATATTTCCCTCATTAAAATGCAAATCAATTTATAACATTTTTGACATGCGTTTTTCTGGATTTTGTTGTTGTTATTCTGTCTCTCACTGTTCAAATAAACCTACCATTAAAATTATAGACTGATCATTTCTTTGTCAGTGGGCAAACGTACAAAATCAGCAGGGGATCAAATACTTTTTTCCCTCACTGTATCTACGTGACTTTACCGAAAGACCCAAAGAATTGGCAATACCCACTTCTGGAATCTAGAACAACGTACGGTTAACAGATTACATACAGCAGATTCTACAGGTTCACAGCAACGTGGATTCTATGCGCATCACTACGGCAAAACAGAACGCATTTGCGAATCACAACGTGACCCTAGAGTCGTGGCAATGAACTAAATCCTGTTGAGGGGGCGAGTCACTACACCCATGGTCGTCAGACGGATGACAAAAGGTCTCTAACCTTCACGTGTAGACCTCTGGGATGAGCAATCGCATGCCCGCGCCACACAGAGGAGGTTGTTTAATTATTTCCATGAGAGATTACAGACCGCATCGATCATCCTCCCGCTCGCATTCTCTGTCCCGGGCAGACTGCGCATGAGCACTTCAAAGGAATAAAATAAAAATCGACGCTGCCGACAGGGTCACCCCAAAACGAGCGCCTCTCTCAAGGTCTACAATGAAAGGGGGTTTCAGTTGCAGTGGCTGACACCCACGCTTGTGTGCAGGGGGCAAGGATATGGGCAGGCGCCTGCCACTCAAGACTCACGGAGAGCCAGGGCCCTGGCTGGGCAGACGTGTGACCTCTGAGCGGAGCTGAATGCAGCAACTTCGGACTCTGCGTTTCTGAATAAAGCATTTTATCTAGCCTCTTTAAGAGTGCGAGTAATCAATCGCAACCGGAACTCTTTGGCGAGTGATACTCTGATGTCGCGTCGCTATAAAGATAATGATGTAAATAAAAAGAACATCAACAACAACAAAGCCCACTGCCCTCATCATGACCGCCCCCTGGAAAATGTCGAGGTGTAGGCCTCAATGTGCTCGCTCACCGCTGGTGGAACGTCCCACATGCAAGTGAGCTCGACTCAAACTTCTGGGGGGTATTCGGGCCTTATTCTTCAATCCTGGCCAGATACCTTTGAAGGTTATTCGCACATAATATGTGACCTGTTGATTAACCAACTGTTGTGTGGACAGCAGCAGCAAAAGCAGAGATTGAAGCATCGTTGTTGTTGTCTCAGCTGCCATGCTGGCAGAGCGAGCTGGTGGCCACCACTGACCATTCCACCGTGGCAACATCCTCCATTCTCATCATCACTGCCTCATGGAATGGAAATATACTGGAAACTGACGATTGTGGATAATGGCCCTTTTTCAGTGCAAAGATGGAGGTACAATAGATTGAGTCACTTGTACGTAGACTCATACATTGGCTGAAAGCATCTGAAAATGTAAAACCCAACGTAGCAGCAGCAAGGACCCTCCTGCAAAAGAGTCCTACGACTCTGCGTGGCTCTCCTGGAGAGATCAGACAACATGAAATATAACCACAAACACGGGCGATCGCCACTGGGGCCACGGAGGGACGACGCGTTGCCTCCCCAGGGCCGCCACTCACTTGCTGCTGTTGGGCAGCGACTCGGTGCCGCGGCCCCACGAGATGCTGGGCCTCGGGGCGGCGTGGAGGGCGCAGGCGATGTTCACCGAGCCGCCGCGCACCGCCTGCACCACCGTGGGGTGGCTGTGGTTAAACTCCGGGGCGAACGCTGCCAGCCAAGGGAACACACGGCACACGGCAGGAGGCCAGCGTCAACGCGGCTCTGAGCCCCGGCTCGCCTGGACGTAGTGGCGGTCGTCGCGTCCCCTCCTGGTGGTCCGTCGTTGAGACGTAACAGAGAGCATCACTTAAGTCTGTCAGGCAAAGGGAATTCTACTGACGTAGAAAAGGCAATGATAGCAATACAGGTGTTAATATGTTCAAAACATCACATAAACACCTATGATAAGACATCAAGTGGTAAAACATGCAAATAAATATGCTTGGATAATTAGGATATGCACTGCCCTTAACACTGAATTGGACTACACCAGAGACAGCCTTCTTATGCGGCTTCATCTCCCCAGTGCGAGACTGAAAAACGCTGACCACCTGCCCCGACTGGACATCCGTGAGAAAAAGAGCTTCATAGATCATCAGATTCCTGCAGCATAAATAAAGATCATGATATGAAGCAGATACACAGTGACATTGCATTTCAACATGTAAGTGTATTTCTGTACGACGCCGTCTCTGACGAGGTCAAGTCATTTCCAAATGAAGTGCTTTGCGTTGATGCGCTTGGGCAGGAGACGTGTCCCCAGGTCGAGACGACTGGCTGAGCGGCGGCCGAACGAGGGGACCCTGAAGGACTCCCCCTGCACGTGGGATCAGCTCATGTGTAGCAGCTACTTGGATTGGTGCATTGCGAGGCCGTGTAGGATGTCAGTGGCTAGATCATGGCTGATGATGATGATGAAGCAGCGTATTCATTACAACGTAGAATAAAGTGTGCGTGACGCCACGATACATGATTATCTTATTGGTTCTTTCGGTAAAGTCACGTAGAAGGGAAATAATAAAATAATAAAAAACAAATTATACAAGTGTATTTTATTATGTTTTATTATTATTTTATTATTTCCCTTCTACGTGACTTTACCGAAAGAACCAATAAGATGAATCCCTGCAGTCACGAAAGCTTCAAATCGAAAAATACATGATTAATTAACAGGAAAATCAAATCCCATAATGAAATGAGTAATAACTAAACAATTGAACAGAGATGATTAATGCATGAGGTGCACATGACACTTTAAAGGTCCTTCAGCATTGATATTTCAAGCAGAGTCATGGCTCCCCGGATTGAGCCTGCGAGTCACGTGCGTGCGCGTGCGCTGTGCCGAGTTTCCTCGCGCCCGACCGTATGTCAGCCTCCACTGAGGCACAACACAGACTAATCGTTCCTAACACTGTGCTCAACAAGTAATGAGTCAAGATTAATCAGCTCATTGATTAATTTGTATAAATATTTAACCGGACCAATTCAACGGGAAAACTCTCACGCAAACACCTGAACCTGAAGACGCACTGAGACCAGCTTCGCGAATCGTCAGCAGTCACGGAGTGCCCGGCACTTCCCCGGGATTATTTCTCTCTGCCCAGTGACACAAATCATACAATTCGCTCACTGGGCAGATGGGGTTGCTCCTTGTCCTCTACTGACACTGCTGTCTGGAGCTGCCTTCCCCCTCGGTGTCCACACGGCCCTCGCTCCCCGCGTTGAAGGCCATGATCGAGGCATCCCTCGCCTCCTTCTGCCGAGCCACGGCCAATTCCCACGCATCTCAATGTCACGTCCCCTTCCCGTAGCATCTTCAGTCCTACAATGGTGGGCTGTCCCACCTGATGATGATTGCTTGTGTTGCGATCGAAACGTCGTGATCTATTATTATTCTACCTACGTGACTTTACCGAAAGAACCAAAGAGTATTAATTACATTTACTTGTATAGACCCACTCCGAGAAGTAAAAATCACCATTAAGAAGGGATTTAAAGTTACAAGCACAGCTAAACAAACTTTTAATGATGGACGTGACTTGTTGGATATGCCATGTGCTCTCTGCATCACATTAACCAGACATTTTCTTAAAGACAGAACACAAAAACGAAACAACTCTGGAAGCTAACTGTGTGTGCAATGTCAGGACCTCTCTGGCACGAGTTGTAAATTCGTCGAGTGAGAAAATCTGACTTTAAAGCTCCAGCAAGCTGTACAATTATGATATTCGAGTGACATCATCTCCACAACACAACCACTGACAACATCATACACGGCAGTGCTCATTTTATGGACCACACAGGGATGGTCGGCCGAGTCAAACCCTGACTAGAATTGAACTTGCAACTTTCCAACGGTGCAGCAACGGCCGCGATCAAGATTCTACCCAGTAAAATATTTGACAACGAGATTTGATGAATGTAATTTCTCATGTTTTGACACTCTTTTGTTGCATTGATTTCCCATCGACTACCTCTCGTCTGAAGCTGCGAGAAGCCTTTGTCGGTCTGGGAATATTTCAGATTAGCGGTCGCCCATTAGGAACCAGTGAATTGACTGTAATTTGAATTTAATTGCGAGCGATTAGCACGCGCCACCAATAGTGAAAAGGCAGTGCCTTGCACCACGCTCAGCCATGCGGAATTTATATAGAATTTTAATGATGAGTGATGGCACATTCAGCTGGTCAGCGACCATCTTAAGCTTCTATAATGAAAAATAATAATATAGTTAGAAAAGTTATAGTGCTTCGCAATTAAGCAAAGTAAGGATTGCAGGGGAGGAGTGGCGGTGCAGCGGTTGCACTACTGATCTCTGCATCGGCCACAGGAGATCGCATCCCTGCCTCGGCTAACATCAGTGGCTGGGTGAGAGGCGAACCGGTCCTGGGTCTCCTCCTTTACAAACACGCACTGGCGGGCATGGTGAAGTACGGTTACACAGCCTCCATGACCAACACCGTATGAGGAGGTCTTCATTCACTTTTAGATCGATGAAGGGTTGTAATTTTTTTTGATGATTAAGTATGAAAAATGTTTTAAATCGAAAAAGACGATGTACTTTGAACTTCTTTCGCATGGTACGTAGCCAACCATGCTAAATTGAACTATACTCAAACATGCCTAGATAGACTAACCACAATTTACCACCGAGCGTGGCACGTTTGGTGCGCCTGGAGACAGTTTAATGAGACGACGAAAACTGGTCACAGGACAGAAGACAAGGTGCTGTGGGTGTTGCAGTCCAGAGTCACATACACGCGAATCAACTCAAGGTCTGCTCTCGTGTGCCAGAGCCTCAGTCGTTGCTGTCAGTCGTATGCCACGAGAGGATTTGTGTTGAAACAATGACGTTTACATATTGGCAGTACATATCAAGTGCTCTCAAACTGGATGAATCAGCACATCGAAAGTAAGGAAAACGGGTGCAATGTATTTGTAATGGTCAGCATGAAACAGGTGTCGTGTAACACGGCCAGATACGTCCGAGCTAAACGCAAAACATTGGATCATGCTCATCTATGGCAACACTCCTGGGCATTTAGGAGAATATTCCACATTTCTATAACAGAGACGAGGCCATCCAGACAAGAAGACAATTTGTGTTAAGCACATGGAGGTTTGTTGTGTTTCTGCAACAAGTTGTCCTCTGTAGTGTGTAACTTTACAGGTGACCTGCAGTGTGTAACTTTACAGGTGACCTGCAGTGTGTAACTTTACAGGGTGACCTGCAGTGTGTAACTTTACAGGTGACCTGCAGTGTGTAACTTTACAGGTGACCTGCAGTGTGTAACTTTACAGGGTGACCTGCAGTGTGTAACTTTACAGCGTGACCTGCAGTGAGTAACTTTACAGGTGACCTGCAGTGTGTAACTTTACAGGTTACCTGCAGTGTGTAACTTTACAGGTGACCTGCAGTGTGTAACTTTACAGGTGACCTGCAGTGTGTAACTTTACAGGGTGACCTGCAGTGTGTAACTTAACAGGTGACCTGCAGTGAGTAACTGTACAGGTGACCTGCAGTGAGTAACTTTACAGGTGACCTGCAGTGAGTAACTGTACAGGTGACCTGCAGTGTGTAACTTAACAGGTGACCTGCAGTGTGTAACTTTACAGGTGACCTGCAGTGTGTAACTTTACAGGGTGACCTGCAGTGAGTAACTTTACAGGTGACCTGCAGTGTGTAACTTTACAGGTGACCTGGAGTGTGTAACTTAACAGGTGACCTGCAGTGTGTAACTTTACAGGTGACCTGCAGTGAGTAACTTTACAGGTGACCTGCAGTGTGTAACTTTACAGGTGACCTGCAGTGAGTAACTTTACAGGTGACCTGCAGTGTGTAACTTCACAGGGTGACCTGCAGTGTGTAACTTTACAGGGTGACCTGCAGTGTGTAACTTTACAGGTGACCTGCAGTGTGTAACTTTACAGGTGACCTGCAGTGTGTAACTTTACAGGTGACCTGCAGTGTGTAACTTTACAGGTGACCTGCAGTGAGTAACTTAACAGGTGACCTGCAGTGTGCAACTTTACAGGTGACCTGCAGTGTGTAACTTTACAGGTGACCCGCAGTGTGTAACTTTACAGGTGACCCGCAGTGTGTATCTTTACAGGTGACCTGCAGTGTGTAACTTTACAGGTGACCTGCAGTGTGTAACTTTACAGGTGACCTGCAGTGTGTAACTTCACAGGGTGACCTGCAGTGTGTAACTTTACAGGTGACCTGCAGTGTGTAACTTTACAGGTGACCTGCAGTGTGTAACTTTACAGGTGACCTGCAGTGTGTAACTTTACAGGTGACCTGCAGTGTGTAACTTTACAGGTGACCTGCAGTGTGTAACTTTACAGGTGACCTGCAGTGTGTAACTTTACAGGGTGACCTGCAGTGTGTAACTTTACAGGTGACCTGCAGTGTGTAACTTTACAGGTGACCTGCAGTGTGTAACTTTACAGGGTGACCTGCAGTGTGTAACTTTACAGGTGACCTGCAGTGTGTAACTTTACAGGTGACCTGCAGTGAGTAACTTTACAGGGTGACCTGCAGTGTGTAACTTTACAGGTGACCTGCAGTGAGTAACTTTACAGGTGACCTGCAGTGTGTAACTTCACAGGTGACCTGCAGTGTGTAACTTTACAGGTGACCTGCAGTGTGTAACTTTACAGGGTGACCTGCAGTGTGTAACTTCACAGGTGACCTGCAGTGTGTAACTTTACAGGTGACCTGCAGTGTGTAACTTTACAGGGTGACCTGCAGTGTGTAACTTCACAGGTGACCTGCAGTGTGTAACTTTACAGGGTGACCTGCAGTGTGTAACTTTACAGGTGACCTGCAGTGTGTAACTTTACAGGTGTCCTGCAGTGAGTAACTTTACAGGTGACCTGCAGTGTGTAACTGTACAGGTGACCTGCAGTGTGTAACTTTACAGGTGACCTGCAGTGTGTAACTTCACAGGTGACCTGCAGTGTGTAACTTTACAGGTGACCTGCAGTGTGTAACTTCACAGGTGACCTGCAGTGTGTAACTTCACAGGTGTCCTGCAGTGTGTAACTTTACAGGTGACCTGCAGTGTGTAACTTTACAGGTGACCTGCAGTGTGTAACTTTACAGGTGACCTGCAGTGAGTAACTTTACAGGTGACCTGCAGTGAGTAACTTTACAGGTGACCTGCAGTGTGTAACTTTACAGGTGACCTGCAGTGTGTAACTTTACAGGTGACCTGCAGTGAGTAACTTTACAGGTGACCTGCAGTGTGTATCTTTACAGGTGACCTGCAGTGTGTAACTTTACAGGTGACCTGCAGTGAGTAATAATAATAATAGTACAATTTGTAACGCGCGCAAATTTGCAGACGTAGTGGCCGCAACTCAGAGGCGCAGAGCCAAGCTCAGAGTCGCTCAAAAGCATGATTGTAGAGGTGAGTTTTTAAGTGTCTCTTGAAGGAGGCGATTGAGGTGATGCTGCGAATGTGCCGAGGGATATCGTTCCAGACTGTTGGGGCTGCCACCGAGAAGCGGCGCATAGACATGACCATCCTGGATCTTGGTATCAAGAGGAGGTCGTGAGTCGCGCTGCGCAGGCATCTGCCGTGTGCTGAGCTGCAAGTTGTCAGTAATGAAGAAAGATACGGCGGGCAGGCGGATATGAAGGCATTGTGGCAGAGGCAGGCGGTCTTGTATGTGACCCTACTGGCAATGGGGAGCCAGTTGAGAGCGCGGAGACGAGCTAGTGAGTCGAGGCGGGGATGAGTGTGGGCAATGACGACGCGTGCTAGGTTATTTTGTAGTCTTTGAAGCTTCCTTAGGTTGCCAGCGGAGGTCCGGACAAGGACGGAGTTACAATAGTCAAGGCGAGACCCAACTATGCAACATGCCAAAGTGTTGGCAATTTCAGTAGAGATGAGAGGACGTATGTGTCTAAGAGCCTTCAGGTGAAAGTTACATGAGCTGATGATATGGTTGGTTTGACGGTCGAAGGATAAAGTTGAATCTAGGATGACACCGAGGTAGCTGAAGTGGTTGGTGAACTTGATGCTATGACCGAAGATGTGTATGTGTGTGGGGAGTGCTGCTGAATTGAGACGTTGCTTGGTACCTAACATGATGGCCACTGACTTTTTCGGATTAAGGGCTAGGTTGTGTGCAGTGAACCATTGTTGCACGGCGGTGGTACATTCCGAGAGCCTCTCGAATCCAGATGCATTGCTAGAATCGATGGCGGTGAATAGAATCGTGTCATCCGCGTATGAGTGATGCTTAACACCGAAGCTTGCAATGAGTCGGCCGATCGGGGAAGTGTAGGCTGTGAAGAGCAGGGGACCTAGAACAGAGCCCTGGGGAACCCCGCATAATGCTCTTGTTTCAGGCGATGTGGACATGCCCACCCTGACTGAGGATTGCCGGTCAGAAAGGTACGAAGCTATCCACTTGAGTAACTTTACAGGTGACCTGCAGTGTGTAACTTTACAGGGTGACCTGCAGTGTGTAACTTTACAGGTGACCTGCAGTGAGTAACTTTACAGGTGACCTGCAGTGAGTAACTTTACAGGTGACCTGCAGTGTGTAACTTTACAGGTGACCTTCAGTGTGTAACTTTACAGGTGACCTGCAGTGTGTAACTTTACAGAGTGACCTGCAGTGAGTAACTTTACAGGTGACCTGCAGTGTGTAACTTTATAGGTGACCTGCAGTGTGTAACTTTACAGAGTGACCTGCAGTGTGTAACTTTACAGGGTGACCTGCAGTGTGTAACTTTATAGATGACCTGCAGTGTGTAACTTTACAGGTGACCTGCAGTGTGTAACTTTACAGGTGACCTGCAGTGTGTAACTTTACAGGTGACCTGCAGTGTGTAACTTTACAGGTGACCTGCAGTGTGTAACTTTACAGGTGACCTGCAGTGTGTAACTTTACAGGTGACCTGCAGTGTGTAACTTTACAGGTGACCTGCAGTGTGTAACTTTACAGGTGACCTGCAGTGTGTAACTTTACAGGTGACCTGCAGTGAGTAACTTTACAGGTGACCTGCAGTGTGTAACTTTACAGGTGACCTGCAGTGTGTAACTTTACAGGTGACCTGCAGTGTGTAACTTTACAGGTGACCTGCAGTGTGTAACTTTACATGTGACCTGCAGTGTGTAACTTTACAGGTGACCTGCAGTGTGTAACTTTACAGGTGACCTGCAGTGTGTAACTTTACAGGTGACCTGCAGTGTGTAACTTTACAGGTGACCTGCAGTGTGTAACTTCACAGGTGACCTGCAGTGTGTAACTTTACAGGTGACCTGCAGTGTGTAACTTTACAGGTGACCTGCAGTGTGTAACTTTACAGGTGGCCTGCAGTGTGTAACTTTACAGGTGACCTGCAGTGTGTAACTTTACAGGTGACCTGCAGTGTGTAACTTTACAGGTGGCCTGCAGTGTGTAACTTTACAGGTGACCTGCAGTGTGTAACTTTACAGGGTGACCTGCAGTGAGTAACTTTACAGGTGACCTGCAGTGAGTAACTTTACAGGTGACCTGCAGTGTGTAACTTTACAGGTGACCTGCAGTGTGTAACTTTTGCAGGTGACCTGCAGTGAGTAACTTTACAGGGTGACCTGCAGTGTGTAACTTTACAGGTGACCTGCAGTGTGTAACTTTACAGGTGACCTGCAGTGAGTAACTTTACAGGTGACCTGCAGTGTGTAACTTTACAGGTGACCTGCAGTGTGTAACTTTACAGGGTGACCTGCAGTGTGTAACTTCACAGGGTGACCTGTAGTATCTAACTTGTAGCAGGGAGAGTGCAAGGCTCCAGAGGGCTCGTCGTCCCCGGGATCTGGGTCTCACCGAGCACGCGCAGCTGGGCGCTGGAGTAGATCTCGCCATGCTCGTTGCTGGCCACGCACTGGTACATGCCCTCGTCGCTCATGTTGACGCTGGTGATCTTCAGGCGGCCATCATCACGGCTCACCAATATCCTGCCCTGCAAGAGACACCGGACGCACGCAGACGCTCCGCACCCGAGCTCGGCAGCGTGCGAACACGTGTCGACTCGTTGATCGTCAAGCCTCACGATGTAGGCCTGGGCCTGCTTAGCTTCGCAGAGCCGATGAGGTCGGACGTATTCCAGGTCATTTGGTCACAGGCGATCCGTCGCGTTACTCACATTGTACTGTGAACATGCTGTCAGGCTTGCTCACTAAAATTCCCAGAATAATTATTTTCATCATCTTTTCCTGACTTCGAGGAGAAATAAGCCGAACAAACCCTCGGTTCCAATTAACACGGCTCGAGCCCTGATGGGGGGAGATTGTTCCCGTGTCATCCCGGGAAGGCTTCGCACAGACGTGGCACGAGCGTGACCGGGTGTGTCGGGACCGCTGGTGTCGAGCAACACGTCAGGAATCGTGGGGCAGCTCCCACATCTTCCTGAAGCCAGTGGTCAAAACTCTGTATTGTGATGGTGTGAATACCCCTGTCCCCAGAGGGACAGTACTGTTGACTATTAAGAGAGTCACACAGCGCTCACTGAATCAACTTTGGAGGGAGGATTGGACAAATTATACTTCACTAAAACTGAACGAGTCATGTACTTCAATGATTATAATCATGCTTTTTTTAATGCTAACAATAAAACAAATCTCTTATGTGTGAGTGATGAGAATTGCGATAAAACCATGCACAGCAGCAGCAGCAGCATGACTGGGTCATGACAATCGTAGTTTGTCCACCCGGTGCACTGCTCTTTGTGAGAAGGTGCTCCCGAAATCATTGCCATGGACACAGGAGTTGAATATACAGCCTAAATAGACATACTTCATTGGAATTAGCTCTACCTTAAAGTGGTTGTACAAAAGCAAAAACCACCGAGAAAATATTTCACGTTAACGTAAGCGACTGCACGTTTCACGTTTCCAAGGAGGAAAAATGTTTTCATGTTGTAAAATCCATTATTACATTTGTTTTCAGTGGGGATTAGTTATTTAAGCATATTAACATTTTGCCCAACAGGCATGGGGGGGGGGGGGATCAGTCTCTGTTACTGCCAACCACGCAGCACAATACAAAAATAAACCACCGACAGCCACTTCACACTGCTGGCATTCACTGGGAAGCCGTAAGTGATGACACGTTAACCTGGGTGTTACTGTAAACATACTGTCGGGTCCAACTTGAATAAATGTGGAGGAATCAACTTAATGAGCTGGGCTGCATTAGAGGCCGAGACAGAGCTGAGCCGTGACTAGGAACACGGCCTCAAGCGAAGCCCAAAGGAGCTCCGGGCTGTGGTGTTGAGGCTCCAAAGAGAAATCCGGTCACCTCCTCTCCAGCGCAAGCTGCCCAGGCCTACCTTTGACTCCAGGAGGATTCCGTTCCGCAGCCACTGGTACAAGGGCGTGGGCGTCCCTGTGGCGTTGCAGCTCCAGTACAAGTCATTGCCAATGTGAATGTTTGCGTTCACGATTCCTAGAGTCCACTGCGGGCGAGCTGCAAGGAGGCAATCGAATGAAAGAAGAACGAAGGAAGGAATTAAACAAACACAGCAACTACGGATACTTTCTATCAAAATATTTGGGAAACCGACTTTCATGAAAAGGTAAAGGTGCAGCCCGGAAATTGCTTGCTCACGCTATTGCTGGGAGAAGGGCCTCCACTTCAGGGAGTTCTAGAGCCCCTACCACAACAACAGCTGCCGTTCACCGCTAAGTGGCGGTGACGTCTTCACGGCGCCTATGCTAGGTTAGGTGCAATTTGACGTAACGTCAAGTGCTAAAGACTTGCTGCTGGCAGGCGATGGGATCGGAAGTCTGATTCCGCCGGCAAGACCAACAAAGTGGAAACCGGTCACAAAGCGTGCATTCCATTCATCGGCAAAAGCTCCGTAGTGAAACTGCAGCCTCACCGTGCACAAGAACCTCGGTCGAGGCGCTCGTGTTCCCCAGCTTGTTGTTGGCGTTGCACCGGTACGTGCCGTTATCGGAGGTCTGCACCTCCTCGATCTCCAGCACCGGCCCGGCCTTGAGCAGCAGGGCCCCCGGGCGGTGCCACGTGATGTTGGGCACGGGGCTGAGGAGCACAGCGTGGATAACGCCGTTTGTACGTACGCATATATGTTGAACTTCTTTCGCGCCGTACATAGCCAACTGTGCTAATCGGAGGTGCGGGAGAAGGACGACACAGGAGGGCAGATTGAGGAGGAGATCAAAGGGTGAACGAGGGGGAGATCGAGGGGGAGATTGTGGAGGAAGTCGAGGGGGAGTTCACTAGTTTACTGAGGATGATGCTGCCAAGTAGATGTTTTGTAATGAGGTGGATGAAGCTGCTGCTGTGCAATTCCAATCGAGTAATTTGAGGGTATTTTTTAGCATTTGGATGTCTGATCAATACCAGTGACATTGAATGTATTTCTTCCGATAGAAGAAAACCAGGGAACCCAGAGGATACCCATGCAGGACAGGGGGGAAACCACATAGCAGGGTGCCCAAACCGGGCACCAAACCCAGGCACTTCTTGCTGCGAGGCACAAGTGCTACCACTGCGCCACTCTGCTGTTCGAAGGTTGTGGAGATCACAGGATGTGGTGGAATAAGAAATGAGAACGGTGGATGCAACCAGAGGAGAATGGGCAGAGAAAAGAGGCACGTGGAGAGAGGATCAAAGGAGTGGACTCCATTCAAGAATGGGACCTCTAGCTTAGAGAGAACATGGAGTGTTCTTGCCAACAACATCTATAAACCTTGTAGCAATTGTTTAACAAGCCTGACAAGGCCGATGAGACCCTGAAGGTCAAAACAAATACAGTTTTCTTGTTTCAACCAATGCTGTGGGATAATATTTGTCTCGAAGACTTCCTTTAAGCTGTATACACACAAACCAACCTTTAAATAATAATGGTTAGGTAGCATCGTCAATAATTCGCTGCAGGTCTTACAACAATGCATTGTCAGTACTAATATTTGTCTCGAAGACTTCCTTTAAGCTGTACACACACAAACCAACCTTTAAATAATAATGGTTAGGTAGCATCGTCAATAATTCGCTGCAGGTCTTACAACAATGCATTGTCAGTACTTTTGAAACACGTAAACACCGCAATCCTGAGGCACGGAACTTAACACAGTGATTGATGGCATGCCAAGAAATTTACATAAAATCTATTGAGCAAGCCTGACTTAAGCACTCTAGTTGAAACGGAGCTTTTTCATGAGACTTCTCCTACCATAGTATGCATATATATAACTTCACGCAATTATTATATTTACACTGTGTACAATGCATCAAAGCAAAAAGTTAATATTTTATTTCATCCCAGGTCCCCATAGGTGCGCAGCAGCAAACACGCTCTTGAAGAGACAACTTGGGAGGTAACATCACGTGCCTCTGCCCGACACGCAACGGGGACCGGGATAATTTCCGCCACCGCCACACCGTGCAGACGCGTGGCCGCCTGCTCGTGGCGTGGCCAGCGGAACGTTGCCGGCTCGTTGTTGTCGCTGTTGCTTAGACCACGGTTCATCGCCTCCAGCCTCGGGCATGGTGACCAATAAATGTGGTTCTTATTTTTATTATTGTTGTTATGGTCACAGAGCACAGGCCCCAAGGCTCAAAAATTCCAAGCGACCAGCAACAAACAGCACTCATAACATTCCGGTTCTGAGTCCACTCGGCCTCTCATCCCGTCTCGGGGTTCGAGTGCGGCTCCCCCGAGTTGCGTTCAGGGCGTGCCGCACTTTGCTGGGCACGATGTTCGACGGTCCGCCTACAACCGCGTGCCATCGTCGAGAAAGACAGAGAAGGGCGGTGGAGTGGACGTCGGGCCCCACAAAAGCGAGCAGCTCAGCTCGGTTCAACAAAGAAGTTCACAGCAAGTGGAGCGAAGCGTGGGACATCGCACAACACGTGGCACGACCCCAACGCACGTTGCCAGGGAGCTGCATGGCGGTGCAACGGCGATCGAGAGACGGTCTGTCCACCACCGCCTTAGAATGGTGGAACTTCCACCACAGGCTCAGAGCTGTCATTGGGGATGAGCAGTGCGTAACGCCCGTTTGGCGCCCTGGACAAACGATGCGGATGAGGCTGCCATGAGCACTCATCCAAATTGATCGTTTTCATGGTGGGTGTCAGTTTTCTTTCGGCCGAAACCTTGGTGTTTACTTTGCATCATATTGTGCAATTTTTTTCACTCCCCTACTGGCCTAATGTAGTTACTTGCCTCTTCTAATGTTACATTTATTTAAATAGATTTATTATTCAGGTGCAATGCATCATTTTTACTAAACCCTTTTCACATTTTACTGTATTAATTATTGTAATTTTTTTTTCAACATTTATTAAACTTTCATGTTCAAAAACTATTGCTTTTTATTTCTCTTGATGTAATCTAGGGCACCGTTGAAAAAGAGGCCGTGCTGTGGCGTGCGCGTCAATGGGTGTCGGTTACACAGAGGAAGCGAGAATGCACTGGATGACCATTTTGAGCTTATCATCGAGAGACGCCGGAGCGAAGATGTGCTGAGGCAACCCCGACTGAATTCAACTTTCAACCTTCCGAACGCGAGCCAAGCAACATGATCACAGCATCGCCCTGCCAGAATAAAGATTCAAGAATCCATGGACTTCAAAAGTAAAAACATAAACTATTAAAAATCATAATCTATGCCAAGGAAAAGTATAAATAATTAATCATTATACTTTCAAATATTTATTAAACACTATGCTCAGTGAATGCAACATCTTTAAAGCAGTTGAGTTGTTGGGCGGCTTGGTGAAGGAAACATTCATTCATTAGCGAGGAAGTCACGCAACTTCCCTGGCGCAGTTCAAAGTGCCATTGACTTGGCAATGCCAGCAGCCGGCGCGTCGCTAGCGCTGTGGTGACGCGCCTGCGTATGTCGCACGAGGATGCACACGAGCGGCTCATCATCACAACCCCACAAAAGGCTCTTCAGAATTCTCTCTGATGCTGTTAGCGGGGTCTTTTGCTCGCTCGCTGACACAGCACCTCTTCCTGGGTGTCTGTACTGCTGATTCCCCCCCCCAACTCCGAGTCCAGGCTCAAGTCCTCCTTCCCTGCTGTTGATTTGTTACATTCTTTGCACTTCCAAATCCACCCAAGCCATCGTTCACTCTGTTCTCCCCCACGGGTATGTTGACTGTGGACGTTATTGCAGCACGGTTCAGCATCTGCGAGGGGACACAGTAGTTCAGATGGCTGTGCACGGTGCCTTTGTGTGCACTTGGGTTCGCTTTCTAGCCACGGCTAACATGTAATCGTTTGCTGTTGTTTTAGCCAAAAAACGCGACCCTGAAGTTGACCACGCGAGAGACACGCACAAATCCCTCCTCCACGCTGATCGTGTGACATCACAACGGGCTCTGAGGGTAACCCGGCCCAAAGCGGGAACCCTTTCGAGAAAACGAGCCCCACGGCCCAAGCTAGGGTGAGCCACCCGGTCCAGTTACGGCTCACCAGGCCAGGCTACCATGGGAATATCTGCTGAGTCCATTTGCCGAGTTTGTGAAGCGGGCAGCTCTGGTTTCAACTGTTCATGTAAATGCGGCCCAAGAATCTATTCTACAACTGAGACCGTCAGATCTTCACAGCACCCATCCTGTGATTGTCTATCTGAAGACACCTCGCTTTATTTGTATGTATGCCACCATGACTACAAGTGCAATTAAGTGTAATTCAGTGTAGAATAAATGGACTTCTGTTCCACCTCACCACATGAAATTAAAATAGTTTAGTCCATCAGCCTATGGGTTTTTCCACACCAATATAATCCAGCAGCATTTGTTTAAACAAGAAAACATTGACCTGTTTTGACCTTGGGGTCTCATTAACCAAACTTTTTTACAGGCGAGGGTACTCTGTCTAGAGCAGGGGTGGGGAACCTTTTTTCTGCCAAGGGCCATTTGGATATTTATCACATCATTCGCGGGCCATACAAAGTTATCAACTTAAAAATTAGACCGTTATATTTGGTCAAACATTTAATTAACTCACCCCTAATGTGATGGCTGGAATTGCTGCTCTTTGGCGAAGCGTGTGATGTTAGCTGGTGTTGATGATGTTGCTGCTACTCGCAATTGCTTTTCCATGTTTGCTCCGAGATTTATTGAATTTCGAGTCCTGCCTGCGGTTGCCTTGGCAGGGCCAGACGAAATGATTATGCGGGCCTTGTACGGCCCGCAGGCCGGACGTTCCCCACCCCTGGTCTAGAGCATGGGGCATAGTCATTTCAAAGAGCAATGAGGGATAATGCAGCAGTAAACGCTACTGGTGGAGAGCTCTTTTGGTGAGACGTGGAGATCGTGGTACTCACTTGCCCATCCCAAAGCACTCTAAGCGCAGCTTCTGTCCCACCAAGACGTCCATTGTAGGCGGTGGCCGCACCTCGAGACGCACGGCCAGTCTGCTCCCCACCGCTGTACGACAATCGCATCGACAAAGCAGTCCGACATTAGCAGCGCACGCAGTAGCAACGGCACACACACAGCAGCACATGCAGCAGCACATGCAGCAGCACATGCAGCGCCCGCAGCAGCAGCACACACACAGCAGCACACGCAGCAGCAGCACACACACAGCAGCACAAGCAGCAGCACATGCAGCACATGCAGCACACACACAGCAGCACACACACAGCAGCACAAGCAGCAGCACATGCAGCACACGCAGCAGCAACAGCACAAGCAGCAGCACATGCAGCACACACACAGCAGCACAAGCAGCAGCACATGCAGCACACGCAGCAGCAACAGCACAAGCAGCAGCACATGCAGCACACGCAACAGCAACAGCACAAGCAGCAGCACATGCAGCACACACACAGCAACAGCACAAGCAGAAGCACATGCAGCACACGCAACAGCAGCAGCACAAGCAGCAGCACATGCAGCACACGCAGCAACAGCAGCAGCACAAGCAGCAGCACCCGCAGCACAAGCAGCAGCACACGCAGCAGCACCCGCAGCAACAGCAGCAGCACATGCAGCACACGCAGCAGCAGCAGCACACACACAGCAGCACACACACAGCAGCACAAGCAGCAGCAGCGCCACTGCTATTTGCCGCGTGAGGTGGCGCTGCAAACATCAAACGTGAAGAGCGGTCAAAATGAGAAAAGTCCCCAGGTGCAGAAAGAGCACAGAAGCCAACCAATCAGCACCTCCGACTAGCACGGTTGGCCACGTACGGTGCAAAAGAAGTTCAACATACATACTTACACAAACCTCAAGTTCAAGCTGCAACCAAATTAGCCAACTAGATATGGACCCGACCCATAGCCGCACCCATGTTGCCTATTGTATTGTTTGTTGCGCTACTATGGTGCTCAAAGCGGAACCCTGTATCGTGGGATTGGTGGAGATCGTAATGCGACTCACAAAGTGCACAATGTGACACTTCCACACTGCCGGTCTGCGAGAAGGCCAGGAGATGGCAGTACAAGTTGGTTTCTGATCTCTTTGTGCAGCACGTGTTTTCGTACTATCCCCCTGCACGCGTGGGTTTTCTCCAGGTACCACTGTGGTTGCTTTTCAGACGCAAGGCACTTGTTTAAAAAGGAAATAGCCACGTGGCCTGACCCAAACGCAAATATGGATCACTGTATTGGCTAGGAAACCCCATTTTTATGGTGCATATCTTATCCACTCCTTTTCAATGTATTTATACTCCTGAGAGCAGATTTTGTACTTACTGGTTGTTATTATTCTTTCCGATGCAACTATATACTATATTTGATTATTTTTATAATTTAGGAATTGACACAGAGCGCTTTAAGGCGATCCTTTTCATGAGAGGCGCTAAACAAAACGAAAGGTTTATTGATGGAGCCGCGGGTAAATAGTAACCAGGCCTCACAGTCCTTCTTGAGCTGCAAGCTGATGAAGGAGCTGTTGACCGTCTTGTTGAGCACGGGGCCCATCTGGCGGTGCAGGAGGCAGCTGTAGCGCCCCACGTCGCGCTGCTTCACGTGCGAGAAGTACAGGTTCCCCGTCGTCTGGGACACGAAGCGTCGCGAGTCCAGGCGGACGGGCGCTGGCGCCGCGGAGCCGTTGGTGTCCTCCTCAAAGAGCCACTGGAACTTGACCCCTGCGCGAGGCAAACGGTTACAATCGTCAGCGAGCGTTCGGTTTCCGCGTCACGCTTTACAACGCAACGCAACCGCGAGGCGCTATGCTTCCCAGACGGCACAGTCTGCAGTAGTTCTGCGGTAGAGGGCAATGGTGCGGTGTGGTTTTTACCCAATCGAGTAATTTGTGAGTACTTTTCAAACTTGGACCGTGACGCTGGCGCACATTTGCCTCCTCTGTTTTGAGTAACATGGCAAGGTTTATTCACTGTCCACAGTGAAGCAGGCTGGTGCAGTGGTAATGCTCGTGCCTCATAGCAAGAAGGGCTTGTGTTAAAATCCCGACTCGGGTGTGACTCTACGGAGGGTTCGTAAGTTCCCCCACTGTCCTGCGTGGGTTCTCCAGTTTCCTCGCAGATAAATAAAATGGTACCTGGTATTAGCCAAACAGCCCAATGCTGAAAAGGTACTTGTAAATTACTCATTTGGGATCACACAGCAGCAACAGAAACACAACAAACTACTATAAACTAAACGATTGTTTTTATTTTACCATGTAAGGCCCATCGAGTCCTTTTTCAGAAGCGACCTGGCCACGAATGATAGCCCAATGAAGTGGATTATCATCACGTGGAAATATATAGCAGCCAAATACTCTAAATGTGGAACGAAAAAACGGAGAGAACACGCAAACTACAAATATACAGGTGTCAGGGTTTGGATCGAACCCACGACCTCCTGTATACCAGGTGAGGTAGCTAACATCTCGCCACAGCATCACCCCGACTGATAAAACTTGGAAGGACCCGACTGAAAAAGTCTTGAGACTTAGTGAGGCCTTCCTGGCTAAATAGACATAATAATAAATACAACAGCAGTATTAACCAGGGTGGCCACGGGGCTCGGACTACTACTTGGCCGTGTCACCACCCACAGAGTTCCACTCCCCATTATGACTGCTGTATCGGTGTCGATGAGCAATCGTAGCGTTCAAAGGCAAATGTCTCTGAGCTCATGAGAGCAATTGGAATGCAATCATCTCCGCTGGTGGTCCTGAAACGGTGGCATAAAATTCACACTCCCATGGCAGAGTTTTTTTAATAGAAATCTAAAATGCTTTCTGGAACACATTACCTTCAAAGCTGTTTTTTTTTACTCTGCAGGAAAATCCGCGAAACCTAATATGTGCCTCCACATGTTCTGCCATGTTCCACAATTCAATGTAAATTCAGCTGAATTCTCTTTTGCATGAATTTACATGAACTGACTTGGCGTCTGCATTATGCTGAGAAACTAAGCCGACCAAATCAGATTTCAAAAAGCCCTTTTCATTCCGAACCATCTAATATTTGCCGATAACAGTCATTATAACATCCAATGGAAATTAACTCTGCAGGATATGTTAAAATAACTAAATAAAGAGGCTGGAAAGTTGGAGACAGGATAAATATGAGCAAAACAAAGGTTACTTTAAAACATATTGCTAAACAATGGGAGATGTCTAGAAATATACACACAGCCACCAGGCAGCGGTGACTGTGCCTGTGGCCGCCTGTCATGCAGCGCTCTGGCGATGGCAGCGAGGGTTGGTAGAACACCACACAAATGTTAGGAAACTCCCTTCCCCTGTGCGTTAAGGTGGCACACCATATTCTGGCTTGTCAGGAGGTGGTACAGCAAAAATGTGGTCTCTACCTGTTCCATCTGTATGTTTCAGTTTTCAGTTTCATTTATTTGGTATAGCCCTGTGAGCCATTCGGCTCTTGAATCGGGTGCAACCGCAACAGACAAAAACATGAACAAGAAACATCTTAAAGTGACTACGTGCAAACATGTGATAGAGTGTTGCCCCCTCGCACACAGCGGTTTTCTCCAGGTGCTCCGGGTTCCTCCCACGTGCATGAACACTCATGAAATGGATGAAAACATCTTTCTATATAGAGGACCGCAGAGCTTGAGCTCTTGTTGGCACCGGCTCACCGCCTGGCTGCTTCACCGCTCGCCTGTGGTTCCTCCTCGAGTCTCCGAGTTGTTCTCTCTCTGTGAGTGCGAGCGATTGCTGTGTGGCGGTATGTTGCAAGTTGACATTACTACGATGAGTATGTCTACCAGGACAGCTATTGCAGGTGGACCAGAATTAAAATGATGAAAATAGGCAGACAAGAGGAGGTTAGATTTTTTTGAATATCTGGATCTTGATAATAAACAAGCAGAATACCAACGTATATGGCTCAGAAACAGCGTGGTCAATAATAACACAAGAAAACTAAAACTTCAAAGTGCAAAACGCAGCATAGAGAGATGCACGCTTGGAATTACCCCGAGGCACCGGAAAGAGGCACACGTGGAGAGAGAGAGAGAACACACGCAGTGTGAAAGACACAATTCTAACCGTCAAAAAAGCAAGCGGACTTGGGCAGGACGTGTCGCTGTACAGCACGAGTAGAGGCAGAGTGGCAGCCACGGGTGCTAGCGCGTCGGGGAGGACATCCGCTGGGAAGCGATGAAATCAGCTCTCATGTCACTGCTGGAGGGATGGTTGCATCGCAGCACCACGAGGCGTGGTGACGGCTTGGGGAGGCAGTGGAATTATAATCACTAAAGATAATTATGATTGCTACCGAACTTTGCGTTCGCCTCAGGCTTGTTATATCAAGCACAAGAAAATGCATAAATTTGTCGGTAATTCTCCACATCATGCACTTCAGTGGGAAACATGGAATGAAATGTGGTCTCATTTAACATTTAAGAAAAGCATTTACTAAACTTTTCTAAATTACCGTAATCTTCCTGCCTCCTTATAGTATGGTCTATTATACTCACAAACCTGAGCAATGGATCCAATGCACCAATGCGTAATCTGCATGCGAAGGGAGAAGAAGGGTAACTTGGAAAGGAAGGATGGGCAATGGAGCGTTGTTAAACGAAAGAGAACGCTGATTTCTTCAATAAGAATTTGATATAAGTGCATAAAACCTGAACAGAGAATAAAATTAAGTTACATGAAAATGGAACTCGATGTATAAAAACTGAGTACCATATTTTCAATGTACCTAGTCAGCACTCAAATCCCATTAAAATCCTATTTGAATAAAAAGTTGGCAAATTTAATTTACTTCATCGAGGTCAACGTGCTGTGCGTGACTAGTGGGTGGCAGGATAGTGGGCGGTAAGCGTCGTGCAGCACCGTAACAAGCACCTGGTCTTGATTCCCGATTTGTGTGCCTTTCTGTGTGGCGTTAGCATGTTCTCCCTGCGTTCTGCAGTGTGAGTGAGTGTGGAGTTTCTACACAGGTGATCACTAACAGCACTTGCCCCAACAATCCGTTAAGGCTTCACGAGGGATCTTTAAATTTCGATTTAAAGCTTTCGTGACTGCAGGGATTCATCTTCTTGGTTCTTTCGGTAAAGTCACGTAGAAGGGAAGTAATAAAATAATAAAAATAAAACATAATTATTTTATTATGTAAAGTCACGTAGAAGGGAAGTAATAAAATAATAAAAATAAAACAATAAAATAATTATGTTTTATTTTTATTATTTTATTACTTCCCTTCTACGTGACTTTACTGAAAGAACCAAGAAGAGGGATCTTTATCTTTGGGATTTGTATATTTTCTTCATGTTCTGCATGGTTTTCCTCCGGGTTGTCCAGTTTCCCGCCACAGCTAAAATAAAACCCCACATACAATGTCACCGATATGGGCCAAGCCACATGCCAATGGTGAAACATTGTCAACGTCGCAGCCTTCTGCAAAAGGTGGCAAGACCCTTGTGAAATAGTCTTGAGGCTGACCCTAGGTAAACGAACGTCATAGAATTAATAATATAGTCCTAATAGTAATTGTAAAACACGGAATGTATTGAATTGTAATTGCATTGCCAATAGTGAAACATGTGAACTAAACATCTATTTTTTCAAACCATATTTGTTTTTTTATTGTGAAATGTTGATTAAATCTTGATTTGAAGCTTTTGTGACTGCAGGAATCCATACTCTTGGGTTCTTTTGGTAAAGTCACGTAGGTAGAAAAAATAATAGATCACGACGTTTCGATCGCAACGCAAGCAATCATCATCAGGCGGAAGATGCCGATTGCTTGCGTTGCGATCGAAACGTCATGGATCTATTACATTTTCCACCTACGTGACTTTACCGAAAGAACCAAAGAGTATAAATGTAGATTTATGGATTAAAATAAAGAAGACCGCTGCAATTTATAGTTCAGTGCCTGCACATGCTGTCAATCATAGTAGGTTCCATCAAAAACACATGATTTGACTTTCTTTCACTTCCCATTAAACAATAACAACCTGAATAATGTATACACGGTGAATATGTTCTTATTAAATTAATACCATGACATTTAATGTACTGTTCGCCGTCGTGAAAAGGTCACGGCATGAGATTTACTCCAGCCGACACACGCGGAAAGTGACGATCAAGATCCCCCCCACCCCCCATTCGGTCTCCAACACTCGAGGCGCGGATGCTGTCTTCGAGCACCTATTAAGGCGGGCATCGACTGGAACAGGCGCAGGGAGCTAATGTGTGACCAGTGGGACGGAGCTCCAGACGACATGGGCAGCAGAGGAGAAGCGGCCAACTCCCACCCAGCGGAACTGAACTCGATGCTGGAGAGGGGAGCACGTGAAGAGGGGGAGAGTGAGACGACAGTGAGGAGCTAAGGCTTATCTATGGTAGAGAATGTAACGCACGTACGCAAGTCCTCTTCAAGGCTTTTGGTTGAACATCAAGGTAGGGCCATCAAAGCAGAATTGCATTTTATGACATTAATAAGTAAAACAAAAATAATCCCAGGCTTCCCATCCGAAGGATTGTCCAAGGGTGCTCATCTCATGTTTATAATGCCGAGCGCAGAGGTGGAAAGTCTTTGGGTAGGATTAGTATATCCAAAGCAAAACCATCACTGACTTTCCGCAAATTGACGCATATTTTATCGACTCCAGAGGGATGAAGGGATGTTTGTATGTATGTTGAACGTTCGCACCGTCCGTA